CGTGTGGTGCACCCTAGAGTGTATGAAGAGGCTCCGTGTGGTGCACCCTAGAGTGTATGAAGAGGCTCCGTGTGGTGCATCCTAGAGTGTATGAAGAGGCTCCATGTGTGTGCACTCTAGAGTGTATGAAGAGGCTCCGTGTGGTGCACCCTACAGTGTATGAAGAGGCTCTGTGTGGTGCACCCTAGAGTGTATGAAGAGGCTCCATGTGGTGCATCCTAGAGTGTATGAGAGGAGAAAGCCTGTGAGGCACGCGTGTCTTTTCCTTCCTGACTGGATGGGATGTGACCAGTTGCCTCCTCCTTCTGCCACCATGATGTCCCCAGCACTGTGGACTGCACACCGGGACTGTGAGCTAAAATACCATCTCTCTTTAAGTTGCTTTCCCCAGTTTTTGTTCAGCAGCTATACACACAATGGCACAGACTCCTTTTATATACTTTGTTTTCATAACTTGCAAGAGAATTTGGTATTAGAAACCTAACTGGAGTTCTTTAATCTGAGCGGAATCACAGAAGTACAGTCAGGAATTGAGGAAAAACCAAGCCTATCCGTGAGGGGCAGACATGAATGGAGTCCATGAGAAGAACAGGGCGCAGCATTACTGAGACGTACACATGATGACTTTGCCAGGGGAATGCAAGTGCCCCTAAGCTGTAGGACCGTGACACTAAAGCTGACATGATGAAAATGGCAGAGCACAATTTCAAATGTATTTCAAAATATATTTCTAAGTAGCATAAAGCCCTTCTCTTGTAAGGATTACCTCAAAATCAAAATATTTTATCAGAAATATAATTTTGATAATAAACCACAATTAAATAAAGAAATGCAAAAGTATTCTTTGCATGTTTGTATTAATCACTGGTGTGAATATGCTTTGAATATACTTCATTGAAAGATAGTATGTCCACAAGCTCTCCAAGATGTGTCCAGGCACAGATGAGCATCGACTCTCTGTCCTCTTGGGGAAGCTATGTGCAATGGGGTGCCAGGTGGGAGCTGCCTCTTCCCCTCCACGCAGTGAGGTGCTGGATGGGGCCACAGAGGAGGAGTGGGAGACAACCTGTGAGCCTGTCAGGTGAGTGTACCTCTTGTATCTGTAAGCAAGCCGTTCCCCATACAGCCTCTTCCAAAACTCATCTTCTGTAAAACTGTCCTTTGGCACTTCAAGAAAAAACAAACAAAGATAAACCCCAAGTGTCTCCTTTCCAGTCTCATGACCAGATATCCTGCAGATACCGTTTTTCTTGCTTTAGTGTCGCCAGTGTCTTCATTGCTTCGAGTTTGTCAACTCCAGCTTCTTTGCTTATGATCTCTACAAGGGCGTCGTTCACATCCTTGGCCATATTCTTGGCATCTCTAAAGACAAAGTAGCAGACTTTATAAAACAGGAAGTTTCCTTAACCAAACCCTGTTAGCCACACCCCCAGTTCTCTCTGGTCCTGCCATCTTTGTTTTTTCCTCACTTCTCAGAGTGTTTCCCAGATATCCAGCACTTACCACAGGCCAAGCCTTCACCCATGGTGGCTGCTCTAAACAGAGCTGACCATATGGGTCCATGGCTTACAGTCCTCCCTAGGCTGCAGAGTCCTAGCATAGCCTTCAGTTTTCCTGCAGGAGGGAGCTGGGCTCTGGCTCATGTTCAGGTCCCTCCTTCCCTTTCGTGTACCGTAGACCCCCACGCTCTCCTAGTCCTAACCCTTCATGCATACGACGTGGCAGGCCCCTTCACTGAGGACAGAACTTGGCTCATGAAGGCAGAAGAGACATTGCACCTATGTCCCTTGCTAACTCCGTGTTAAGAGTGTCTGAGATCAGGGAGTGGACCTCATGTCTCCTTACATGCCAATATCTGGATGAAGGAACTGTAGGACAGATCTTCAGATGTCTGGAATATAGCCCATCCTGTCACAGTTTACTTTGGGAGGTGTCTAAGGAGCCAGATCTGTCTCCTTCCTCATCTTTTCCTCAACCACCCCAGTATCTATCCACACAGGTCCACCCTCTGCCAGACCTGCAGGTCCTCTCTGCCCTCGTCTCAACAGACTCTTCCGCTGAGTGCCGCACACTTGGCTTTGGACAGGTGCCCTCCTCTGTCATGGTCCTCTGCACCTGCCCGCCCACTCCATTTGTCACTGGTGAGGTGACTCCGAGCCTTTGTCTCTGAACTCACCACAACTGCTCTCTAGGAAAGGTGAGACTCAGTGACTGGAGGGGGTGGGAGTGGGGATTATGGCAGAGGAGAATTTAAGAGTCTGGAGATATCCGTGACGTTTTCAGTCACCAGCTCCTGGCACTTCTGTGTGATTAGCTGCACCTGCTATTTAGAAGCCTGACATGTCAGCCTCAACGTGACCAAAATGCCATCACAAACACGCAGGCCAAGAACGTCCACAGAAGCTAAATGAGAACAGAGACCAACACGGTGTGTGGATCTCGGCAGCACTCTTCATGTGGGAGCCAGGGACCATCAGGGTGTGAGGTCACCTAGACAGCCCAACCCAGCCTCTGGACAGTTGAAGCTATATAAATGTAGCAGGATGGTTTCTGGCTGCTGCTACATTGTTTGCAGTGGAGCAACTGGGGAGGAGCTAATGTGAGAGGAGTGAAGGGGGTGGGGGGAGAAGGGAGGAAGGAGAGAAGGAAGAGGAGGAGCAAGGGAGAGGAGGAGAGAAGATGGCGGCTGATGTCCAAGTGTCTCTAGCAGTCTAAGGTAGCTACTTATCAAAAGGTTAGATACTGGGTAACAACTCTAATCGTGTGGGCATCTTGCTATTTGAGCATCTCCAAATCTATAAATACTGGATAATATTTAAGCATTAGGAGTCTCATTTCTGGATACCGAGGATGGTGGGTATTATCATGGGCTCAGCCAGGAATGTGGACAGCGGACAGCATGGTGGGTTGGCAGAGCCAGCTACCATGATGGCATCTCGTGGGTGCCAGGGCCGGTGTTTCAAGCTAGCGGGAGCTGCGGTCCAGAGCTGGAGCCACGGGAAAATGATGGCTGTTTGGTAACAGCCTGGACAAAGCACTGCTTTTTAAAATATTGACCACAACATACAAAGATAAAGAAAGAAAGGCAGGCAGCATGTGACAAGCATGTGCCAGTCTGTCAGTCTGGTGTGGCCGCAGTCACATCACCCAGGCAGAGTCAGCACTTCATCTTCTGCATCACAGCAACAAGGTCAGAAGGGCTTGGCTGACTGAGTGTGATCAGTGCTCAGGGTGTTTTAGGATAAAAATACAATTTCTCACTTGAAATTTTCCTTACCTAGCTGGAAGTTTGAGAGCTGAGTTTCTACAATTGTAAGTGTCCACAGGGTGCTGCCTTTAAAGCTCCCACAGAAGCACACACGTAAAGCTTAGTAACTGCAGGAGTGACTCCGGCCTTCTGCCTATCTGCCTACCACACTGACCTAGAGAAGACAGATTCTAACCTGATGACACTCCCAGAGTCAAACTCTACTTTCTGCTCTGCTAGCTCAGTGGTGCAAACCACAAATTCTTCAGCACAACAAAATCCATGTTGAGACATCGGTTTAAGTGATGAAGGTTTTAACATTCAGATTTTCAGATGCTAAAAACATGTGCCCAGAGCAAAGCATTCCCCAATGCAAGAGCCAGTGTTCACCACTGCCTTTCTGAAAAGAATCCCTGGCTGTTAACTGGGCCCTGGAATTATTCATTGTGTGCTCACATGTGACGTGTGTGAAAGCAATGTTGTCACATCGATTACCGGCCCCTCAATTCATCTGCTGCAGCAGCAGCTGGGTCTTCCCATCTGGCTACATACCCACACACATAAATGTAGCCATTCTCCTGCAGGAGGATCCTGGCCACCTGCTGGCTGTGACGCTGGAGGTTGTCTTGCACATACTTTGCTGGGGCCCCCTCCTCCTCAGGTGCAGCATCTCTTGAGAAGGAGACCTTCAGGTGAGTCAAGACCCCAGTCTTGAGGAAATGCCTGAGGTCCTCCCTGCAACATAGCACCGCAAGGTCAGTGAGAGGTGGGGTTAGCGATGCCAAGGTCTGCAGTTACAGCTGTCCAATCACAGCAGCGGCACGCTGTACCTGAACAAATAGTCTCTGTCCTTATGTCTGCAGCCGAAAAACAGCCACATTGCTCCAAAATTTCCATCTGGGTGTTGTTCTTGGAGTTTTTCTCTAATGTAAAAAGGAAGTGTTTGAGATAATAAGCACATACATAAATATTTTTCAACAGGAAATATCACCAACAAACAGGTCTGTAAAACCCATCTTTGCACTGTTCCAAGCGAATCATTTAAAATATCAGCATTTGCTATGTTTGGATATTATCTGAGTTTTTATGCTACAGCACTACGGACTAACCCTGGACTCTTGTTTGCACTAAGCTGAATTACAAAGCATCCCTCCAGACTGAAAAATACTGTTTCCTTTCCTCATGCTGACAAATCACTACAGTACCCGATACTAGGTAAAAACTTTCCAAAGTACAAATTTTACAACCAATACTCAATTATTTTAAAAAAAACCTCTGAAGAACAGAATGGTCAGCTGTTCCCACCTGAGGTTACAAGGACTCTGCAGCCACAGTGAATACGCACCTGTGCTGGAGGAAGCCAACAAAGGGGGC